TAACACACACACACACACACACACAAACACACACACACACACACACACAAAATACATCGATTTATGTCCCTGAAAATAGGCTTGAGCCTGATCCGGCTCTATGCAGTTCTGAGGCCTGTCCCTGCTTGAGCCTGGCCATTTGATTGCCCTACCTGGATGTAATTAGTCAACACATGCTTAATGTTGCCAGGCTGATTGTAGTCTCCAGTGCTTCATCATTGTCATCATGGTCACTGCTGGTCTAACATGCCCATTGTTTAGCCTTGTCATTACTGTCATCCATATGGGTCATCAGCTTCCCTTGGGGCCATAAATTTGTTTGTTTTGGCTTGAAGAGGCGATACTTATGTCTAAGAGGGTGTTTCTTTGATTTTGGACCAAAAGCCCTGGTAGTTTCCGTTACTGTTAGAAATCTTGGTTCTGTAGCACTTGTTATCTGAGAAAGTAATTTGAAGCATTTCCCTTGCATTTACATTGTCTTGTACATGCCACTTCCATGATCATCTCTTTCTTTCTTGGTTTTTTTTTTCTATTTTCAGTGCTCTTGCAACTGTATATGTCTTTGTATACCTGTTCTTTGTTCGACAAAATGAATGAATTTTACTTTCTTTTAGTTTCAAATGTAAAGGAAGAAATCTTTGTTACTACATATTTGTCTTTTTTTTTTTTCTCTCTTGCAGGTTCTTATGGAACTCCACCTCCAAAGCCCTCATACCAAAGTAGCCCCTGAGCCATTATTCTGGTGTGTCTCCTGACACTTAACTGAAATCGCTATTTACTGGTTTCATGATTTGTAAGCAGTGTTACCCCGATACTTCGAATAGAACCTGGTGTCGCATGTCAACACTTAAACATGTGTCGACACTTGACGACACTGCCGTAACGTGTGACACTATGTGTTGGTTGACATCATCAACTATGAGTGTGATGTTGACCCTTCAAATAAAAGTGACTCCCTTTTTATTTCATAAAATTTGCATTAGCTCTACACGTTAGAGGAGTTGTTTATCCTATAGCATGGTTGTGGTTCCATTCCCACAGATAGCAATGGAATGGATTAAATAAAAAGAAAAATCAAATTATATATAGATCTAATATTTTGTTAGTTGTTAAAAGTTAAAAAAACATGCTCACATCAAAATTCGAAGTCCTACCACCTTGGACTTAGCACAATGCTGTGACCACTACTACCTCTCCATTGGCAGTTCTCACAAATTGGAAAATAACATTATATATCAATAAAATATATTATTTTATGTATAAAAAATTAAATGTACGGACATGTTTAGCCATACTGACTTTTTAAGCCAACGCATTAGAACTTGCAACACTTATGGACACTGACACTCTTGTCGGCGTCAATGTGCCACTGTTCATGAGTCAACGTGATTTCTCATATGTCCTGTGTGATGTGTTGATTAAATTATTGTAATCTTTGTAAAGTATTCATTCGTTTTGGACCTAGATACCATAGGCTCTGTTGCCAATCATTTTTGAATGATGTTACTTTTTGCCCTATGTGTAGGACGATTACAAAACAATGCATGATGCAAATACCTACTATATACTGAGATCTCCCTAACATATGTGATACTCTAATACCCTAAAAATTCTTACACGCAATAGAAGACATGAGAGAGGAGGGAGGGAGTGTATCTAGGGATCTGGAGATGATTAGGTTTAACTGTATATCAAGTTCTGCCTTTTAAGCTGGGCTGATGTTGATCCATTAGAATGGATGGTTCAAGCTCAGTGGCATCTTTTCCTTTCAGGAGTGTAATGCATCTGTGTGTGTGCACAGCGATGTCTGCACACATGTTAGATAGGGAATTTTTGAATGCGGCCAAATAGTTCACTGTTTTATCTTGCCACATTTGTGGTACTTGTATTCTGAAGCAAAGGGATCTGGAAGCAATTTCCTCACTTTTAGGTTCCATTTTACATGCGTCATCCGTGATCTTTGTTTCTACCTTAAGTTTTTGGCTTATTGTTTCTTTCTTTTGCAAATTGTATGCATCTCCGTTTGTCATGGCTTGTGCAGTATACCTTTAATTTCTCTCTCTCCAAGGGAAATGTTTGGGTAGAAAAATTGTCTGATGGAGCTGATGTAGGAAAAGGTTCATAACTGTTGGATGCCTATTCAACCTTGAGATGTAGGTTATCTGACCGTAATTAGTAAGGTACCCTTACATCTTAAAGTGGAATACAGTCCAACTATTGTGGATTTTTCGCACACATAACCTGTGCAGTCATTTTCTGCAGGATCATTATCCTCTTTCCAATGTTGATTATATAGAGGAAAACTCTCATTGTCACTGATTTTACTCTTTTGCAGGTTCACCTTATGGAACTCCACCTCCAAGGCCTTCTTATGAAAATATGCCCCCTATGAGTCATTATTCTGGTAAGAATGCTTACACTCAGTCAAAACTTTTATTTTCCAGTCACAAGAGTGATGAAATAACCTCTATATGAATTAATTTACTTGTATGTTGGAACTGTGATTTAATCTAGAGCCCACAAATATATTTTTGTTTTAGATATAAATGCGCCTTTGCCTATAACAAATCATTTTGACTGGGATCAGTTTTGTGTACTTGTCAAGGACAATGACAAAATGCACGACCCACTTATCTTGTAGGGTACCTTCTTCTTAGAACCATTTGTTTAGTAAGTGCCCATCTTGCCTGCTCACCCGTTACATGACCAGTAGCTTAAGTAGAAATTTTTCTCAATCCTTTTAAAATCTGGTCTTACTGGTCTCGCAAAATTTGCAAACTACAAACTTCAGGCCTTTTAGAATCTGAGGATTGCATGCAAGTTACTCTGCAAACCTTCTATAATATGAAGTCCTTGCTGCCTATGGCTACAAGCCCTTCCTCATCTTGGCAATGTCCCCTTCTAATAATTTCCCCTCTCCCTCTTTACAAAAATCCCAGATTCTTGGTGATCCCTCCCCCAACTTGCGCTCTCTGCCCTTCTGATCATTTTCCCTCTCCTTCAATTCTTGCACTCTCTTGTTAACTATCTCCTAAAGTCTTCCCATTGATATTTCTCTCTTCAATTTCTAAAAACATGACCTTGGGGTGCAGTTACTCTTTTGCTCTCTCTCTCTCTCATTTTAATTCTGCATCTTCTCGCTCTCTTAGTTCCCTCTCATGGCTCTTTCCCCTGATTTTAATGCTGACCATATCTTCAATAATCCTGTCTGTTTGGCCATAAAATTCACGATATTTCTTTCTGCACATATGGTTAGCCCTCCCCCCACTTGTGCTCTCTGCCATTCTAATCGTTTCCCCTCTCCTTCAATTCTTGCACTCACTTGTTATCAATCGCTTTAAGTCTTCCCATTGCTTTTTCTTTGTTGAATTCCTGAAAACATGACTTTGGGGTGTAGTTACTCTTTTGCTCTCTTCTTTTTTTCTTTTTTTTATATAATTCTACATCTTCTCACTCCCTCTAATGGCTCTTTCCCCTGATCTTAATGCTAATGATGTTCAATAATCCCCTATCTGTTTGGTCATAAAGTTCACAACGTCATATGAAAAATGTGACGGTGATAGGATAAACAAAGATCAATAATACTTGAGACAAAGACCAAATGTGAGACCTTGAGAAAATTCCATATGTGCAGATACTTCCAAAGACGTGCCATAGGTGGGTAAAATAACTGTCCATTGTCTAACACATAGTAATTGCATGTAGTGGCTGTTAGAAATGATTAATATCATAATGTGTATACACATGGTATATATGTCATAAGCAATCTTTCAAAGTTAGGGTCCATTGGACCCCAAATGTTGCATGTAGGTGTAGTCATTTATCGATTACTTTTGTTAACATTGGCCACATATAAACGTGCTCAGCCTTCTTAATTTTATGGACAATTAATACCCGTCCTTTGTATTGAAAGTTATCTAGCGTCCTTTGCATTGAAAGTTGACTTCAGTGCAAAGGTATTTTAGTCATTGGGCATAACAAGACCCCATTCACTACCCCATTAACCGCACATTAATTGTGGGTTGACTTGATTTTTTACCATTAGTTTCTAAATTATTTCCATGTTTACCCTTCATAATTACCAAGAAACCTCTATTGAAACATAACTAAGCTAAAATTAATTGTCAATTAATGTCTAAAAACTTTTGGTTGGCTAAGAATGTTACCACTATAAATTCCGTCCAAGGCGAAGAATGTTACCACCTGTGGTGAATGTTGATAAAGCTCCCACACGCACATGCCATGCCAATGACATATGCATTTCCTGATGCTCCAAGCATGAAATTAGGTGCATACTTAATTAAAGTAGAATATTAAATAGTATTTTTACGTTGTTTTTTATTTGTAACTCATTCAATATAATTCTTACAACTTTTTAACATCCGATCTAAGTTTTTTCCCCCCCTAAACTTTTATTAATATTTCATTTAAATTATGGATTTTTTGGCATTTTATTCTTCTGACAAACTTTATCTTGATAAACAATTGGAATTTTCAAATATTCCTCGAAAATACCCTTTTTATAGCATCTAATGTATGACAAGTTTTTCAAAATTTTAAATTGCGAATAATATTTATTTTTAAAATAATTAATGCCAATTGAAAATAAGCTATTTCAATTTTTTTGGAAGGCATAAGATGGAGTCTTTGTATTTTTAATATATTTTTAGTTATGATTTTTATTTATTTTTTTAACTAAATTATGCCATGATAAACAATTGGACTTTTCAACTATTCTATTGGCAATTTAAAGTAAGATTTGAAGTATTTTGAAATGCATGAGATGGAAAGTGGATAGTCCTACTTTCCTTGCACTTCTACAAAATGTTTATAAATTGGTTGGGGTTAGAGATGAAGTATGTTTAATTGAATGTATTCAAAAATGGAGATTGAGGGTAGAATATGTGTAGTCTTGGCATTCCAAATTTCAAGTTCCTTAGAGACATATCATGGGAAAATCATAAGGAGAAAAAGTCATGGGGAGGAACTCTGTGTGTGTGTGTGACATCATCATCGTCGTCAAAGCCTTTTCCCAACTAATTAGGTTCGGCTATACAAATCCTAGTCAGCCATTCTACTCTATTAAGAGCCATACACTATATATATATATATATATATATATATATATATATACATATATAGTAAGGTAAAGTTATATAGACGACGGCTACTAACTAACTAAACTAAGTAGGACGTACTACTACTAACTAAATTCTAACTAGTAAG